TTCCTACATAATAATTGTCTCTTAATATGAATATTCATAGCAGAAATCAATTAACTAACAGCCATATTAGGTGCTCTGTAATTTAATATGTCTTCCTGCTTTAAATTAGTTCAAACCTTTTTTAACTTAAGTAATTATTTCTGTAAATTGGTTCCAACTTCGGAAATAGAAAATTTCCTCTTGCTTCAAGGTCTCCTATATGATCGTTTACCCATATACCATATATCTCCACCTCTCTCATTGAACATCATCTGCAATTAAGGGTCTTTGATAATCGTATTATCAACAAGCTATAATTAAATTTTAATCGCGACACGTTTTCACTTTTCCATTAATATAGAAAAACTGACTGAGACCGAAAACTGAAAACGAAAACGCAACAATTAAAGTGCAATTAAAAAATTTCGAATTTCATTAGACAACAAAAATATTGTTATTGTTGTCAGCCAACAAATTAAATTCAGAAACGGAAAAAAGTAAAATCGGTCAAAAATAATTTATGCAACTTTTAAACATCCGATAAGCGAAAAGAAAATAAAAAAAATAGACTGAAAAATAAAATTTTCGTGGGCGTTTTGTTACACAAAAGCAAGGAAAAATATAAAAATTATTTAGAGCAAAAATTAAAGCAACAGCACGAAAGAAAAACATTGCTTTTGAGTGGGTTGGCAAGTGAGGCAACACAAACATACACACTTTAAACTGAGTTAAAACAATTGAAGTATGACCAAATGCAGAGTCTTGCTCGCATAAACAAAAAAAGAATAGTTGCACAGAAAAAAAAGTCGGACATTACAAGCTAAATTGTTTAAAATCTTAAATGGATCCTAATTTGCTGTGTTATTCACACTGCGTTTATTTATATCATTATAAATTAATGTTGTTTAATGAATATTTTATTTAAATTTTTGTTTTGTGTGGGATATAAAACAATCCCCGGCAACCATTCGAGTTAGCCCAGTTAGCAACCTGCAACCTTTTTTGTTGTGGCCAAACATTGGACCCACGACTTGGGAAAAGGGTTGGACATTAGTGGAAAGGGTAAGAGGTGGAACATAAAATTTAAATTGCAGTAAACCATCAAAGTTCTGCGAAAGTTTAGGATGAGTACGGTCCTTTGAAGAACTATATAGAAATAAAAATAAAAAAACTGCCAAGAAAAGGCTTCTTCATTTAGTTTTAGTTTCTAAACAACGATGTAAACGTTTACTGTGTATTCAGCTGCCAGTAAAAGAGTAACACGTTAATACACATAATTTCTATATCGAGAACTCACTTCATTAAAAAGAGGAAAAAGTACATGGGGTTTTAAAAATACCAATTAACAAATAAAACACCAACCAAATATATTTAGAATATTTTAAAATTTGCCATCCTTAATTAATTAATTAATTTCTTTGTGGTATTATAGAAATAAATTCAAATAATATTAAAGTATATATTATTTTCTTGTGTCACATGCATCTTTAAATATCGCTGCTAATATTCTGACCGCAGATGTGCGTAGACACTCCACGTTGGTATTGCATTGTACCTGGTGTTGTTTTGCATATGCTGACTCTGATTAGTCATACCAAACAGAATGCAGTGCAAAATGCACAGGCAAAGCCAGAGGCAACACCAAAACCAAAACAAAGCGAGCTGAGCTAATTTACATACATCTACTTATGTTGTGTTTTACGCTGCAGGCGAGTGTTGCAACGAGTTGAATGTTTTTGTTAACTGGGTCTGCCGGAGAGAGCCTCTCCATTTGGCCAACTTGATGTGTGAGTGTGGGCGGGACAGGAATTTGCAGTAGTAAAGTTGCACTTACTGTTTCCTCTTTTAAAGCATTTGCGTGTAATTCACACACTCCTTTTTTTTTTGCATAAATCACTTTTTTCTTACCAGTGGTAAATAACATGGAAAATCTAAAATGGGGAATTGAAAATGAGTGATTATCTCGGCTGGTATAGAGATCTCGAGCGTTTTCTCTTTTAAATTGGAAGATTTGCTAAAGTATAGGGGCTTAACATTTTTCAGGAAACTCAAAAAAAGGTAATTATCTTTCTATTTCAGTTAGCAAAACATAAAAGAAAACAATGACGGAAACTAAAATCAATTAGTTAATTTAATCAGCGTTATTTAGTAAACGAAAATTTGCAAACAAAATGTTTCATGCTTCACTAAAATACTCTTAGCCTTAACAATCCGATCTTTTCAAAAGTTTTTTTCTTTTTTCGAGTAATAAGAAAGTATTAAAAATTTTAATTGCATTTAATCAAAAAAGTATACAAATACATAGATTAGTCTTTAAGCTGTAACAGTAATTCATTCAAGTTTATTTAAATATTTTATGTCAAGAAAAGTTCAATAGAAACAGCGATTTCCAAAAATAGTTTAGAAACTCTAAGCTGTCACAATACTGCTTTAAACACATTTAAATTTCTTAGGTCTTACCCATTGACCGCGCCCCTGCTTAAGAGCCGGCAAAAAACAATCTTTGTCCCCGAAAAACTCCAAGCGAGACATCATTAAAAGCTTAAAAAGCATTTTTAGCAGAACACTAACGCTCACTTTTGACAAAAGACGAATGAAACTATTAAACTGTTTCTTTTATGGCACCGCTAAAAAGAATTCGTCCGCTCTCTGGAGCAGAATAAAACCAGAGTTTTGCAGTTCCAGTTCGAAGCCGTAGTCGAGTCATTCATGACTGAAATAAAAATAAAAATAATAATCACCACACGAACGAACGGCAAAAGAATATAAAAGAGAGAAATATACTTTTTGCCGGTGGATATGATTATGAAATTTCCGTTCCGTTTGTTTACGGCTAAGCTAACAAGTCAATGCTAAGCTATAAAATAAATTTATAATTCAGGCTCTCTATAGTCAAAGAAAAAGAATGTCAGTACAAAAATTCTAAAAATGTTTGTCATAAAAATGTATTTATTATCTGGCAATATTAAGAAATACACATATGTATTTTCATCTTTCCTGAGAAAATTTAATTTTTTCACCGAGTACGTGGCTAATTTTGTATAGCATTTTTGCTGTTTAACTTTTGAATAGTTTTCTGCATAGTTTCGTACGTGAGTATAATATAATTATGAGCTACTTTACTGGCGACTTATTTACTTGTTCACTGACTACACCTTGGCTGCCCCCGGCCACTCCCCTTTCTCACCTGGCACACATAATCACAGAAATAAGAAATGACAACAAAACCGTACTGTCAATGCAAATAGCAAATCGCCTTTAAATACGAAATAAAATGTTTGGGAAGACCGCGCAAAAAGAGGCGGCAAAATCGATGGCCTCATAAAGTATTGTATTTTGTTGTCCGTTGTTTTAACATCGTTCAGGTTCTGTCGAGGTCTTCCAAGCGCTTTCTAAGCTCGTGGCAGCCATGGGTCAGGGCAGCCCAAAGGGCACAGCGGACCACAGACGGGTTCACCCAAGCCAGAAGGTGCTAAAATGATCTCTTCTCTATATGGGGAAGTGCAAAAATAAGTACAGCTTTATTGACGCGAAAAGCCGCAACACACATTTTGTTTTTGGTAATAAACCTTAACTTGGACGGTGCCATTGAAATAACAATAGAGTTTTTGAACGACGAAAATATGTTAACAGTTTGGTAAATGGGGATTACCAATAATACAAAAGGCCAATTCAATTTATAAAAAAATGCATTTTAAGTGCTAAAAATATACCATTAGAAGCGAATATTATTGTGAAGAAAAGCTAATTAGTTTCCTTGCTTTTTATAACCAAAACTTATCAACAATTGTTTAGAATTTAAAAAAAAACGTTGTTCTTAAAATTAAACACGCTTCCACTAAAATTCGCTGTAAGCCTTATACATACATAAGTACTTTAATCAAGTTAAATATATGATAAAATTCAAAGTGTGCTTCCTGACTCCTAATTAATAGCAATACTGTATATAAATAGGAATTTTGTAAAATACGAAAGGTTTCCCTGGTTTTTGTTCCGATTTCCTTTCATTAATAACTTTTCCTGTGCCGCTTTCTTTCCGTTTTAAGATTTTTGTTTGGTCTTTTCGTGTGATCTGTAGACTATTGATGAAAACCAGCTTATGAACATGCAAGTCTGTTTATTTTTATGTGCATATGGTACATTCATAGTTGGTTGTTTTTGCAAGTCTTAACGCTTTGTGCTTTCAGCTTGTTAATTTCGCTTTGCTTTATTTTCGTTTTTGTTTTGAAAATTTAAAAAAACTTGGAGTCAGTTATGGAGTCTTCTGGTCTGCGGCTGCTGATTTTTTATACTTTTGCTGCTTTTTTCTGCCACTGTTGCGGGAATTGATTCTGCGCTTTGGTGATCAGCGCAAATGAAAGTTGAAAAGAGGGGGTTTTTAACTGATTACCATTTAAGTGGCATGTGCCAGGCCATGGCAACTCGTCTAATTTGGTCAATGCTACTTGAAAGACAAAACACTTTCTTAGCCGGAGAGTAATGGACAAAGACGCGGCGAAAATGCTGAACTAAACAGCACTGGGAAAATGTAAGCCAAAGTAAACCAATTGGCCATTTGCCGTGTGCCAAATACGCGAAACGAGGAAGTCTACGGTTACAAATGCGTTGGCCAAATGCGAATGAAATGCGATTAGTTAAATGAGCGCCCGACTTGGCCCGAACCGACCTGGCCTTGTCATGCTTTTATTTAATTCATTTCACCTATCAGTCTGTTGCATTCAGCGAAAAATTACACTGAATTACTTCAAGTTTCAACTTAGTTTAAATTAACAAGTTTAAAGGTTTGTTTTAGAAGTTGGGTTGGGTAAACAAGGAGTTGGTGCATATAGGAAACTCGCTGTTATTGTAATGAATTTTGTGAAGACAATTATATTTGATTTCTATATTGCTCTAGAAAAAGCTACTAAAATACTTTTTGTAATTATTATTAGTTTTAATATCACTTAAGTTTTTAGAAAACCTTTTTTTTAAGTGCAAGTCTTAATCTCACTAACCCTGACAATCTTGATCTTCTCTTGCAGATGTCGCCTCAGTGGCGGTGCCAACGAGGGAGGCATACTTTAATGGCTCCACTTACCTCCGCCTGACCACGCCGATGCCCATTTGGGACCACTCGGCGATTAGTTTCCGTTCGTGCCGCGGCGGCGAGATCCTCGCCCAGCAGTACAACAAGAACTCCATCGTAATCTCAGTGCTCAACGACTTTCTGCAAATATCACTGGCGGGACCTGCAGTCCATGGGCCCAACAATCGCCTGGACGTCAAGTTACCCTACCAACTGCTGGACAACCGCTGGCATACGCTGCAGTTCAAGTACGAGTATGGAAATCTCTACCTGCATGTGGATCGTGCGGCAAGCATATTTGGTGAGTGATCATCCCCCTTACTGTCCCAAATTGGATTTCTAGCGGAATGAGCTCCATAGCCCACTCAGTCGGGGCAAACAGTTACAAACGTGCCATGTGGCAAAGAACATAGGAGTGAATCACGTCACGAGGGTTAAGTAATGCAATTGTGTCCGCTGAATGCGACGGGGGAGTGGGTAATGATGAACTAATTGGAAAAATCAATTAAACAATTGTAAAGCATAAGTGCGAAGAGCTAGCACATTGAGGAAAGGGGCCAGAAAAAGAGGAACCGTTTTAATTATAAATGGTCAAAATAAAATAGTAATTTAAGTGAATTAAATGGGTACCAGAAGATAAAGAATTAAGTTAAAGATGGAAATAAAAGAAATTGCACAATCAAATGACAAAGATTTTATGAATGGGATTTAGGTGTCTTATCAGTATATATCTAGCGGGAATTAAAAAGACAGTCGCAAAAGAAGAAATTAAAAATGAATTAAGAGCTAAAAGCACGAAAGAAATTGGAGAGAAATACATCTCAAATTAAAAGAAACTCTAAAGATTTTAATTTATTTGTTTTCCTCAGCCAACTCCACTTACAACAGCCAGTTTCTGACAAACCAGGACATTGGCTACAAGGATGCCATCTTGATACTAGGAAACTCTTTTTCCGGCTGTCTCCTGGATGGACCAGGTTTGCAGTTTGTGAACAACTCCACCGTCCAGAATGTGGTCTTTGGAGTGTGCCCACTGACTCCGGGTCCCTGCAGCGATCACGATCTCTTCACCCGGGTGCCGGACAATTTCTGTCTCACTGACCCATGCATGGGCCATGGAACCTGCTCGTCCAGTCCCGAGGGATACGAGTGTCGGTGCACGACCCGCTACTCGGGTAAGAATTGCCAGAAGGACAATGGTTCCCCGTGCGCCAAGAATCCCTGTGAGAATGGTGGATCCTGCCTGGAGAACTCCCGCGGCGACTACCAGTGCTTCTGTGATCCCAACCACAGTGGCAAGCACTGCGAGACGGAGGTGAACATCCATCCCCTCTGCCAGACGAATCCCTGCCTGAACAATGGGGCGTGCGTCGTGCTCGGAGGAAGTGGTGCGATTGCGTGCGAGTGTCCCAAAGGATATGCGGGTGCCAGGTGCGAGGTGGACACGGATGAGTGTGCCTCTCAGCCCTGCCAGAACAACGGGAGCTGCATCGATCGGATCAATGGATTCAGCTGCGATTGCAGCGGAACCGGATACTCGGGCGCCTTTTGCCAGTCCAACGTGGATGAGTGCGACAAGAATCCGTGCCTGAATGGCGGAAGATGCTTCGATACCTACGGATGGTACACCTGCCAGTGTCTGGACGGTTGGGGCGGTGAGATATGCGATCGGCCCATGACCTGCCAAACGCAGCAGTGTTTGAACGGTGGCACCTGCTTGGACAAAGCCATCGGGTTCCAGTGCCTCTGTCCGCCAGAGTACACTGGTGAACTGTGCCAAATCGCTCCCAGCTGCGTCCAGCAGTGTCCCATCGATTCGGAGTGCGTGGGCGGCAAAGTGCGTGTGTAAGCCAGGCTCTTCGGGTGAGTTCCACGTTTCATTCTTTATTTCGGTTAAGGGGATCATTGGGCATTGCATGACTTTTACAATTGATTTTCTATTCGCTTATTTTGGGCTTAACGGTCATTGGTTTTCTCTACTTAATATTTAACAAAATATGAAACACAAGCTTCCGACTTGGGGCCGCTGACTCCGCTCGAACTGGACATTCTTGACTCCACACTGTGTCCCAGCGAAAAGAAGAAACGCTACATATCGCCCGAGTGGCTCAAACGCAAGCGTTGTGAACTAAAACTGAGTACGTCGGCAGGGTGACGGAGTAGCTTGCTAAAAGGGTTTTCTAAGCTATGTTCATGGGGTTCAAAATAATATTATTTTAAGCCCGGACACACATTATACGTAGACATCTGCTTATTCGATAATCCCCCACAATCACCTACACTAACTGTATATACTGCCAGATTTAATCGCTATAACTTAATACCTTAATCTTATATTGTACAAAACCACGTGGCGTTCGATGGGTAATAATCGTAGGCCCCATTGGTCACTGCCTGCCAACAACAACCACACCGACACCAGAACAAGAGACAACAACAACGACAAGAACCACAGCCATCCCAATCCCAGCTAGTCCAAAAACCCTAACAACAACCAAGATACCACCAATAACAACAGCCAGAACAACGGTGGCAACAACCACAGCTAGCAAAAAACCACAACAACAGCCACTGCAATCGGCGAACCAACGCTCGGCCTCCTTGAATGCATGTCCCCAAGAAAACTGCTTGAACGGTGGCACCTGCCTGGGCTATAGTGGCAATTATACCTGTATTTGTGCTAGTGGATACACAGGTTTGGCATACATATGTCCGGGGTTGTCCTAAAAGTGTGCATGTCGATGATGGTCCACTTAAAATGAGTTTAATTTGCATGCGGATAATGGCCCTTGTTATTGTTGGATTTTAGTTTATATTGATTTCGACTAGAGTCCTTCCGGAATCCAGCTGAAGAAATTTTATTTAAAGTTATAGAACTTCTTTATTATTTGTTCTGCAGCTATCTTAATTGTATGTATCCAGAATCATGAAAACAAAAATACATGATAATATGAAATAATTATAAACAACAAAGAAGCTCAAAGATAACGTTCATACCATATTAGAAAGGTGGTAAACTGTACCACTATCTATATTTGCAACTTAAGGATAACACATGAGAAACAAGATTTTTCATATTTATATTTATTTAATCATAGATTGTAGGATTCTCTCCAGACTCTAGTCTAAATCTAATATATCTTTTAAACTTTTAGTGCAACCCCAGATAAACTAACTGTAAATACGTAGCAAAGTATATATAGTCAAACAATTGATATTTGGTAAACACTTGAAAAGAACTAAACATGAATAAATTAGATTTGCTTAATCAAAAAAAAAGCACTGTTAATAAGCCAAGGTTCGATTACATACTAATCTTCAGCAATATTTCCAGGTTACAACTGTCAAACGAGCACGGGCGATGGTGCGGCTGCTTTGGCCCTGACTCCCATCAACTGTAACGCCACCAATGGCAAGTGTCTGAATGGAGGCACCTGCTCCATGAACGGAACCCATTGCTACTGTGCCCTGGGCTTTTCTGGGGACCGTTGCGAGAAGGCCGAGAACTGCTCACCGCTCAACTGCCAGGAGCCGATGGTTTGTGTCCAGAACCAGTGCCTCTGTCCGGAGAACAAGGTGTGCAACCAGTGCGCCACCCAACCCTGCCAGAATGGAGGCGAATGTGTGGACCTTCCAAACGGAGACTACGAATGCAAGTGCACGCGGGGATGGACGGGACGGACTTGTGGCAACGACGTGGACGAGTGCACCGTGCATCCGAAGATCTGCGGGAATGGCATCTGCAAGAACGAGAAGGGATCGTACAAGTGCTACTGCACGCCTGGATTCACTGGCATCCACTGCGATTCCGATGTGGACGAGTGCCTCAGTTTTCCCTGCCTCAATGGAGCCAAGTGCAACAACAAGGTAGGTAGCTGGCAGTCGGATTTGGATCCGGTTCTGCCTCTGGTGACTGAACATTTGTCTGTTACTAAAGTGTAATTAGTTGTTTTTCTTTAAATTCGGAAAGCATCGGATATTGAGACAAGTGAGTGACAGTACTCGTTGGGCTAGCGTATCAAATTCTTCCCTAATTGTTGATCTTATATTGTTCTATATATCTATGGTTAAATGTCATTAGACGTAGGCTAGTTTTGAAACCATCCCTCCCATTTGTTGGGAAGTATTATGAAATCTTTAAGTTTTATTAAATTAAATCTATTAGTTCTTCTTAACAAACCATTTTAACCTACTTACCTGATTACTTTCATCTAGATCAATGCCTACGAATGCGTTTGCCAGCCAGGATATCACGGCGAGAATTGCGAAGTGGACATCGACGAATGCATTAGTAATCCCTGCTCAAATGGATCCACCTGCAACGACGGGATCAACAACTTCACCTGCGACTGCATCCCGGGAATGACGGGACGCATCTGTGACATCGACATTGACGACTGCGTGGGAGATCCCTGCCTCAATGGAGGCCAGTGTATCGATCAATTGGGTGGCTTCCGCTGTGATTGCAGTGGCACCGGCTACGAGGGCGAGAACTGTGAGCTGAACATCGACGAGTGCATCTCGAATCCGTGCACGAATGGGGCCAAGTGCTTGGATAAGGTGAAGGACTACACCTGCGAGTGTCATACGGGCTACAAGGGCAAGAACTGCGAGCAGGACATCAATGAGTGCGAGAGCAATCCCTGCCAGTACAACGGCAATTGTCTAGAACGGTCCAACACGACGCTCTACCAACTGAGCCGGGTCACCGATCTGCCCAAAGTGTTCAGTCAGCCCTTCAGCTTCGAGAATGCCAGCGGGTATGTCATCTGGTGTTTATTTCAACTCGAATCCCAAACTAATCCAATCTACTTTTCAGATACGAGTGCGTCTGTGTACAGGGCATCATTGGCAAAAACTGTGAGACCAACATAAACGAGTGCGAGAGCAATCCCTGCAGCAAGCATGGAACATGCAACGATGGGGTAAGTGAAATTATAAATAAATAAAATTGTGTGTCGAAGAAATAAACTAAAACTTCAGAAAACCGTTTCCACAGATTTTGTGTGAGATTTAACATAAGCTTCTTTACCTTTTCAGATTGGCACCTACACCTGCGAATGCGAACCAGGCTTCGAGGGCACCCACTGCGAGATCAACATAGATGAATGCGATCGATATAATCCCTGTCAGAGAGGCACTTGTTATGACCAGATCGACGACTACGATTGCGACTGTGATGCGAACTATGGAGGCAAAAACTGTTCCGTGCTTCTTAAGGGTTGTGACGAAAATGTAAGTGTTTAACACGAGAAGTCAGTGATCTTGATTAAATTAAATTTATATTTTTGTTCTTCCTAATCCAGCCTTGTTTAAATGGCGGCGCCTGTCTGCCGTACTTGGTCAATGAGATAAACCATCTCTATAACTGCACCTGTGAGAACGGATTCCAAGGCGATAAATGCGAGAAGACCACAACCTTGTCCATGGTGGCAACCAGCTTGATTTCGGTGACAACGGAACGCGAGGAGGGCTACGACATCAATCTCCAGTTCAGGACGACTCTTCCAAACGGAGTACTGGCATTTGGAACCACCGGCGAAAAGAATGAGCCTGTTAGCTATATTCTAGAGCTAATCAATGGACGCTTGAATCTGCATTCCTCACTACTAAACAAGTGGGAAGGCGTGTTCATCGGCTCCAAACTGAACGACAGCAACTGGCACAAGGTGTTTGTGGCCATAAACACTTCTCATTTAGTGCTTTCAGCCAATGATGAGCAGGCCATATTCCCGGTGGGCTCCTATGAAACGGCCAACAACAGCCAGCCCTCGTTCCCGCGAACTTATCTCGGCGGTACCATTCCCAATCTGAAGTCCTATTTGCGCCACCTCACTCACCAGCCGTCGGCCTTTGTGGGCTGCATGCAGGACATCATGGTCAACGGAAAATGGATCTTTCCCGACGAACAGAGTGCGAACGTCTCTTATACCAAGCTGGAGAATGTCCAGAGCGGATGTCCGCGCACGGAACAATGCAAACCGAATCCCTGTCATTCGAATGGCGAGTGCACGGATCTGTGGCACACCTTCGCGTGCCACTGTCCCAGGCCCTTCTTTGGACACACTTGTCAGCACAGTAAGTAGTCTTGGGTTAATAGAAGTTTTTGGTGACCCTACAAGCTACTTTCCCCAATTTTATAGATATGACTGCGGCCACTTTTGGACACGAGAACACCACCCATTCGGCTGTGATTGTGGAGACCACGGACGTGGCCAGACGCGCAATCCGCTCCATTCTGGATATTTCCATGTTCATCCGAACACGTGAGCCAACCGGTCAAGTCTTCTATTTGGGCACAGATCCGCGCAAGGCGCCCACCAAAAGTGAGTTTGAGCAGAAATGTCTTAAATATGCAAATATATTATATATAAAAAAATTAAACATTATTATTATTTTCCCACAGATATTGGCGACTCGTATGTGGCGGCCAAACTGCACGGCGGTGAGCTGTTGGTGAAGATGCAGTTCAGCGGTACTCCGGAGGCCTACACCGTCGGTGGCCAGAAGTTAGACAATGGCTACAACCACCTGATCGAGGTGGTGCGCAACCAGACGCTCGTGCAGGTCAAGCTCAACGGCACCGAGTACTTCCGCAAGACGCTGTCGACGACGGGTCTGCTGGACGCACAGGTGCTCTACTTGGGCGGACCTGCACCCACACGCGAGTCACTTTTGGGAGCGACCACGGAACCGGGTGTAGTGCCTGTTCCGGGGGCAGGACTACCCATCGAGGATACCACAGTGCCCAAGGAGGCGGACGACAGCAGGGACTACTTCAAGGGCATCATCCAGGACGTAAAGGTGAGCAACGGCTCGCTCAACCTGATTGTGGAGATGTATTCGCTGAACGTGACGGACGTCCAGGTGAATGCAAAGCCACTGGGCGCCGTGACCATCGATCGCGCCTCGGTGTTGCCTGGTGAGGTCTCCGACGATCTATGCCGGAAGAATCCGTGCCGGCACAACGCAGAGTGCAGGAACACATGGAACGACTACAGTTGCAAATGTCCCAACGGCTACAAGGGCAAGGATTGTCAGGAGATCGAGTTCTGCCAGCTGGTAACCTGTCCTGGCCAGAGCGTGTGCCAAAATCTGGACGACGGCTACGAGTGTCTGACCAACACCACGTTTACTGGTCAAGAACGGTCTCCCCTGGCCTTCTTCTACTTCCAGGAGCCACCATCCGAGGAGATTGTAGGTGAAGCTGCTCCCAAGCAGACCCTCAAACCAGTGATCGATATAGCCTTTCGCACTCGTGCTGGTGGAACTCTTCTGTACATCGACAATGTGGACGGCTTCTTTGAGATTGGCGTGAACGGAGGACGAGTGACCATCACCTGGAAGCTTAGCGCCCTGCATTTTGGCGAGTCTGCACGCTTCGAGAAGGAGAACATGGACGGAGAGTGGAGTCGCATTTACCTTAGGGCACACAATGGCAAACTGGAGGGCGGCTGGAAAGGCTGGGAATCGATGGTGGATCCGGCGCCAGCCTTCTCCACGGACATTGACCAAGCGGCCTTCCAGTCCCTGATCGCGTCCAGTACTCAGGTTTACTTGGGCGGCATGCCAGAATCTCGCCAGGCACGGGGATCCACTCTGTCCGCCCAGCAGGGCTCCCAGTTTAAGGGCTGTGTGGGTGAGGCGAGGGTAGGCGATCTTCTGCTGCCGTACTTCTCCAATGCGGAACTATATCCTCGTACAGAAAACGTTTCCGTACAGCTAAAGGCCCAGTTCCGACTGAACACCACGCGTCCGGAGGAAGGCTGCATTCTGTGCTTCCAGTCGGACTGCAAGAACGCCGGCTTCTGCCAGGCTCCATCGGATGAGTATGCCTGCACCTGCCAGGCTGGATTTGAGGGCGACGATTGCGGCACAGATATCGACGAGTGCCTAAACACGGAGTGCATGAACAACGGCACTTGCATCAACCAGGTGGCGGCATTCTATTGCCAGTGCGAGCCAGGATTTGAGGGTCAGCACTGCGAGCAAAACATCGACGAATGTGCGGATCAGCCATGCCACAATGGTGGCAACTGCACGGATCTGATCGCCGCGTATTTGTGCGACTGCCCGGAGGACTATACTGGTCCCCAGTGCGACGTGCTCAAGCAGATGACCTGCGAGAACGAGCCATGCCGGAACGGATCCTCTTGCCAGAATGGATTCAGTGAGTATAATGTGCCATAACTTAGTCATGTCTCCCTAAACATATCTGAATTTTCGGGGAGCTCATCCACAAGCTGCACCGTTTGCAAAAGGAGTTTGTTTTTTTATTAACTAAACTTTTACTTTCTCTCCTTAAAGATGCATCGACTGGCAATAATTTCACATGCACCTGCGTGCCCGGCTTCGAAGGTCCGCTATGTGACATACCCTTCTGTGAACTAACGCCCTGTGACAATGGTGGTCTCTGCCTGACTACTGGCGTGGTAAGTATCCCAAACGAGGAATTTCCTCATTAAACACTTAGGTTACTAAAACATTTTCCTTCAGTCCCCCATGTGCAAGTGCAGCCTGGGCTACACGGGTCGCCTGTGCGAGCAGGACATCAACGAATGCGTGTCAAATCCCTGCCAGAACGAAGGACGGTGCAGGGATCTTGTGGGCAAGTACGAGTGCGACTGCCAGGGCACCGGATATGAGGGCATCCGTTGCGAGACCGACATCGACGAGTGCAGTGTGGAGGGCGAGTACTGCGGCGGATTGGGCAGGTGCTTCAACAAGCGCGGCTCCTTCCAGTGCATCTGCCAGAAACCCTATTGCGGCGCCTACTGCAACTTCACGGATCCCTGCAACGCTTCGGACATCTGCTCCAATGGCGGTCGCTGCGTGGAGTCCTGCGGGGCCAAGCCAGACTACATCTGCGAGTGCCTGGAGGGATTCACGGGCAAGAACTGCACAGCACCGGTAAGTTGGAAATCACAATTTAAAAATCATGTGATAAAATGTTTGGTCAGGAATTTGGTCGGGTTTTCCATTCATAGATTTTTGAAACAATTAGTACTTACCAGTTAATGCCATCAACCTTAAATTGATTATCAATTGTTTGTTAAATATAAACCATTGTGGCTAATATGAATTTAAAATTCAAAATGAGTGAGTTAATTAGTAACATTTAAAAAATTTTAAAGAGTGAAATGTTTTGTTCTCGAAAATGTTAATACATTTTTCATTTGCATTTTTAAGCAAAACAATGTCTATAACTTGCAAATAACCGGACAGACATAAATTACAATTATTAAAATTTGCCATTACAACTGATCTAAAATCTAAAAATTCCGTTTTAATTTGTAGATAACAGCCAAGGAGGATGGGCCTTCGACGACGGACATTGCCATCATTGTCATACCCGTTGTGGTGGTTTTGCTGCTGATCGCGGGAGCTCTGTTGGGCACCTTCCTGGTGATGGCCAGGAACAAGCGAGCCACCAGGGGCACCTATAGCCCCAGCGCCCAAGAGTACTGCAATCCGAGGCTGGAAATGGACAACGTGCTGAAGCCACCGCCTGAGGAGCGACTTATTTAGTTTTGAGCATGAGGACGATTAGCAAAGCAAACAAAAGATATTTTTAAATCCGCCCATATACACCTAGCCCTAGGAGAAACGCAATGTCTTGTTCTAAGTTCGCCCCTAATTACGGTTTACATCTTAAGGTGCTCAAAGCAACAGCAGCAGCAGCCAGGCTTCCACCTCGACTCGCCCCCGATCCCCTGCCTACGCTTTAGTTAGTTAATAATGCCGTTGTCTATTTATTCTAGTAGTTTAGATGACAGACGTACCCCCTATAGTCGTTATGTAGTTACGTTCCGATAGTTTAGATTCAGTATTCGATTTCTCGTATATGTAAATCCTAAAGCTGCGAACAAAGTTGAGCTCTGACACCGATTCCCCGCCACCTCCACATTCCGCACGGAAGCCTTTCAAATGTATTGTACGAGTATTCTTGTAAATAGATTTGTTTGTCCATTCTTAAACTAAATTAGCTGAGCTAAAACCGAATTCAAAAAAACTTAAAATCCTATATGCCTATATATACGAAAGTATATATATCAGAAAATGTGGCCTTATAACAAAAAAAATAGTAACGAAAAGCAATGACAACCAGAAAGATCATAAGAAACTATTGGTTAAGTAAATCAAATAAAAGACATTTTGCTCTAGAATTTCTAAGCGTAAACTTAAGAGACTGTACTATATAATAAATATTAAATATTTCGACTTTTTTCCAACTGCCCTGTCTATTTCATTGCATTTGCATAACATGTATACTAACATTAATTTATGTCCCCCGGCAAACAAGTAAAATTTAATTTTTCCAATTTATAGCAACTATTGCTAAATTTATTCGTCAACCTTAGCATGACGTGTACTTTATGGTTTGAATGCAAACAAATCCGCATGAACAACAAACTTTAGTTTTGTTTATCATTTCAGTGAGAGAGCTGCTAATGACTAATATAAAAGTTATTAAATATAAGCAATAGGATGAATGCAAATATAAATCAAGTTTAAATAAGATACAACTCCGTGTATAAAGAAAGAAAAAAAGACTCCAAGCTCGCCTAATCATACAATTGAAAGAGAGTGGTATCGAATAGTTGTCGTTAACCGGGAGTCCAGAGTACATTTGCTAAATATCGTTTGAACGCAGAGTCCGTTTTTGTGGGCGGCCCTATCAGCCCAAAGATGCCACCCACTTGAATTTGCTCTGCATCTCCGGATGGTAGAAGATGCACTCCAGTTTGTTTACGCAGTTCTTTCCAAAACGACAGGGTTTCGGGTGATAGAAAGTGCATCCCAGCTTTGAGCAGTTTGGGTAGTACTTGCACATCGTAGTAGCCGTCGTGGAGGTTACAGGTGCCGATATTGACTTGTAGTTCTGCACTGGTATGACGTGGGAGGCTGTTAAATGAAAAGCCAAGGGGAAAATTAATATCTACCAAAAAGATACAATTTCATAGTGCTCTTACATAGTGGTGGCGCCGCAAGCTGCACATGGCTGAGTTCCCTTTGGCCGCCGTGGGCGTAGTTGCAGTCGATGCTCATGCAGGCCATGTCGAACTTGCATTTGGGATGCGAGTACATGCACTTGTCTGCAAATTTGCAGTTGGGGAAGGACTTGCAAGGCGCCGTCGGATGGTAATACTCGCAAAACTGCTTCGTGCAATTTGGATGGTATTTGCAACGCTCCTTGGGCTTGTTCACTTTCAGCACGGTGGAATCCACGCTAACGGCGCTTACTATAACATTTAGACATTACTTTTCCTGTTTATTTGATTATCAAAAAAAATCTGTACTTACATGCCGGCAGATTGTCGTACTTCCTGTCCTCCGCATTGCGAATGGGTACCCTGCGTTTCTCCGGGCCCACTACATCGCGCTCTGGGCTGCCAGAGCGGCGCTTCCTATGCGAACTCGGCTCGTCCTCGTTTTTGAGTGTAAAGCGAATGGGCGTGTGCTTGGCTTTGGTAGCAGTAGAAGTGCTAGTGGATACGCCGGCGGATGCAGCTGCCGATGTCTCCTCTACTGAATTGGATCTATTGGTTTTCTCCTTGCTGGATGCTCTCCTCTCCGCCCGTGGCTTTGGTTTGGCCGGCAGTGGGGGAGTGGTTGAGCGGTCCTCCATCGGCGCTTTAGCCTTATTGTCCTTATGGCCATTGGCCGAGGTTGTGGCTGCAGCCGCTTGTTGGCGCTTATTGGGCGAACGTTTCTTCGGTGAACCGTGCATTTCGTCATCCTCATCCGTGTCGTTTTTTATTATGATTTTCTTGATCTCCTGCGGCTGCCGGAGCACCTCGTTGCGATTGAGGCTGCGTGTCGTCTGGAGGGAAGGCGAACCGCTGCTCTGTGTGGGCGAGCGCGAGAAGCTTCTGTCCCGATTTGATCGGCGTCGCTTGTCGGCGGTCGTGGACGTGGGCTCGGCGCTGGAAGAGGACACTTGTGCTGTAGACACCGGGGAGGAGGAGCGCCTGCGCGAGGTGCTCGAGCGTTTCCGAAAGGAGCCTCCCTTGCCATTGTTCCCGCCTAACGCTTTATCCCCGTTCAATGTGACCACAAACTGGGTCTTGAGAGCTCCGGAGCTGGGAGTGGGCTCATCGAGGGAGCTGATGTGCAAATCCAGCTCATCCACATTGGCCAGCAGCTGCGGCACATACGATTCGACTTCCTCAGTAATCAGACTAGGCGTATACTCCTCCTCCACCACCTTGATCTCGGCGCGACTTTCGTTGGATCGCCGCGCACGCTTGCCATCCCGTTGTGTAACATTCACCACCAACTCCCGAGTGGTGCGCCGGAAAAGTTCGTTGCCGGGAGCACTCCGCTTGCCCCGCTCTCTCTCGCGATCCCGATCATTATTTTCCAACGATTTGCGCTTGCTCAGCGAACTGCTGGTAATCTTAACCACCTCCTCGCTCTCCTTCTTCGAGGAAGTTTTTGCCAAAATTGTTGAACGTTGAGCATCGGCCACGGCTCGCAGCAGTAGGTTCTTGCAGGCCTGCCGCCTAGGAGAAACTTGCGGCCGGGGCTTGATCTTGATCACGGAGTTAACCGGCTTATCGGCCATATCCTCATCGTCCGACGGCTCTGGCGGCTTGTTCACAGCCACAATTACGCGGGAACCAATCCGTTGCTTGGTAACCGGAACCTCTGGACTGGGCGTGCGACGCTGGCGGTGATTACGGTTGGTGTCCCTGGAGTTATCACGGCTGGAGCGTCGTTCCCGGGAGCGTTCTCGTTGATTCCGTTCCTTGCTGGCCTCGGGTTCACTGCGTCGCCTATGGGCCGGCACATATAGTTCCTTTTTGCTACGCTGCGAGCGCTCTGGCGGCAGCTGAGCCTTGGAACCGAGCCGATCGTGTACGGATCGACGCTCTGAACGATCTTCCTTCGGCTTTTCGGAAGTTCCCTCGGGTTGAGTGGTCTTCTCCTCCTCTTTTGCCTCCACCTGGCGAGTGTCAATTTCCGGCTCAGCCTGTTGACGCTTATCTGGTGTCTTTTCCCGTCTGTTGAAAATAATAGGACTTTTGGCCTTTCGGGGAGGAGCCTCCGATTGCGGTGTTTCCTCCTCGGGTTCCTGATCCACAGACTCTTCTTGGACACTCAAGTTCAAGAGGTCATCGTCGTCTTCATCGCTCTCTTCTCCGATTTCGCCAATCTGGCGTAAATGCTTTTTGGCTGCCTGGATTTTCTTCTGGATCTCGGCCAGCTCGGCAAGATCCTTCTGTCGATTGACACCGCTAGTGGTTGAGCTGATCTCGGATATGGCGGGCAAGTCCAGGTCCCTGCTGGCCAACGCCTCCTCGTCCTCGATTGATTTGCGCTTCTTTTTTTTGTGCAGGATCTCGTCCTTGGCATTGAGATCGATGTCGAGAGTTTTCTTGGCCTTTTCGAGGAGCTCTTCGGCGAAGACATCGGTGATTGAGCTAATAACGGGCATGGCATCCGCGGAACTGGACTGCGGCTCCGACAGCTCATCACCGGACTTGCGATGTGGCTTTTTGTCCTTTCTGGAGCCCTTTTTGTCCTTGTCTTTGGCTTTGGCAGCTTCTCCTTGGCCGCGCGACTTGCGCTTCTTACTGGAAGCTGAAACAAAAAATAGTTAATCGATGTATTGACAAGAAGAGGTTTTCCTTTTACCACTGGATGTGGGCAGTGTGACCTCCTGCAACTTCTGCAGCACCTCGTGCAGCCAGGTAACGAAAAGATCCGTCTGATCGCCCAGGAAGAGATTTAGTTCCGCGTTCATCTGCTGTTTGGTGCGTTTGTTGGCTACCATGACCATCACGTAGTCCGGCAGTTCGTCATCTATAAAACCGGCTGATCCCCCGGTTCCCAGCTCCAAAAGCTTTGCCTTGACGGCACTCTATTAGTGGGAAATAAAAACATTAATTTATTAGGTGTTATTTTCGAAAGGCATTACGAGTTCATTGATTTTCCGCAGTCACTTACGCGCATCTTCTGGCCAATCTCGCTGCCCAGATTGCACTCCATGTTCGCTTGATTTTCTAAACCGTTCCAAATGTCGATTTACGGGGGCATTTATTTATTGACGTCCGATTCGTGGCTAGATCTACTTTTTATTACATGAGAAAATGGGAAAATCTCCCCAAAAATAATTATCGCAGCTGCTCCGATATCCAAAACTAGTGGTGGGCGGTCCGCATTAGGGGAATTCTTAAGAAGTTTTTACTGTTCTAAATTATTGTTTTAAAAGCATTATTAAGATTGCTTTGGTATAATAAATTAAATTTGACGATCCTAAATTTAGTAAAAACATATTTGCGGAAGTGTGGGCTCTGTAGAATAAAAAAAATTACTCAATTTAAAAATATGTCATGCTATTCGCCCCGAATGATGTATTCAAGAAACAATCGATACTGCTGCGAATTTAAAAATTTCAAATATTAATACATATGTAAATTCAAATTTCACTGTTGCATGACATTATTTGTGATAATATAATTATATTTTATCAATAACATAAGCCAACCAATTTAAGATATTTAGATTTGGGTTACATTTTCCCTTAAAATTGTATTTATGTGAACTCGATATCGACATATAGCGCTACGGACTTATTAAATGTTAAATAAAAACCATACATTCTGTTTTTTTAAATATATTTTATTTAAGCAGTCCTTAATAATTAACATACAAATTAACGCTTCTACATTATTAAACCCTCCCTGAGATTGCATCTATAGCATTTCCATAATTGTCAAATTCTGATAGATTTTAGCTTACATATCAGATGTTACTTTGAAACATCACGTTGTGAAGGTTTGTTCCCCCCTTTAAAAATTCAAATACGAAGATTTTCCGACTGCCTAGGCGACCTACAATCGATAGTAGCCTCGCACAAGCTATCGATACGCCTGCGCGAAGCTTCTGGGTGAATGGCATTTGAGTGTCAGGGAAAGAAGAAGCTGCGAAAAGAATTTTAGAAGAAAGCAACTGCAATTTTGTCAAAATCGGAGCTGCAATTCGCAATGAATAATGGAAACTAGACGGCCCAGTTCCGGTGATGAGATAAAGCCAGGTGCGTACCGCCCGGGGGGATAGCGAGTGTGTGAAAATGGGCCCCGGATCGCAGCCCCTTTGCTTTCTGCTCGAAGTGTGTGTCTGTGTTTCTCGCCCTTCGAATAGAATGGCTGCGTTTTTGGCTGCGTTCGGCCGAGTGAATTGCACGGGGCCCCTTTGGCCTGATAAATTTTCCATATTGGCGACTCCTTGTGAGTCCGTTTACAACAACTTGTTGCACTAAAACCCGTGAAATTCCCTATATTGCAGAGCTGTACTTCCTCATCTCCAAGTTCCTGGCTGCGGGGCCGCTGGAGGAGACGGCAAAGGTGGGTTGAAAACCAACGCTCTCGGGATCGAGATCCGAAAAAGAGCGCAATTTCGCGACCCGCTTTGTTTACAAACATTTTACTAATTTTGGTTTAATTCTGGTCCATTCCCCCACATCCATTTCTTAGGTTTTGATCCGGGAACTCGAGGAGAAGAAGGTGAGTTTTGATGGGGTTTTGCGGTGGATTTATATATTTCCGACCCGACTCGAATAAAAAGAAAACCGCGTTTGTTTATACGCTTTGTTTTGGTTTTGTTGTTGTTTCTGCTGCCGGCAGCGAGTGACGACAAAGCCCACAAATACGTCCGCTTGTCTCAGAGTTGGAAATCAGACTGAATTGTGGGTTGGCTGGGGCCACGGGATATAGTCTGTAGTCCGTCCAAAAAGAGAAAAAACAACAACAAAAAAGGGATACCCCCGCAACGTCATCGACGACGTCACGGAGTGCAAGTGATAACAAGGCAGTCTGTATATACATACATATATATTCCCATTCCATTTCCAGGTCTTGCCGCGTCGCCTCGACTGGCAGGGAAATGAGCATGAACAGACCTTTGCCGAATTGGTGAGTGTTTCTATAATTTGATTAATTAACGTTTTAAAGGTATCGTTTAATCCCCTTTCTGATCGGGGTAAGTCTTGCGTAAGTGTGTGTCTGCTAGCATTTTCCGTCTCTTTCGTGCGTGCGCCCCTGACGTCATTGGGGGATAGAGAAAAAAAAGTTGACCATAAAAATTAGTTACTAGCTTTAAAAAAAAGCATTAAAACTACAGACATCAATCATTTGCCTGTTAAATTAACAAATGACTAAAATTTTATTAACTTATAAGGCAAAAAAAATTAAAATTTAAAAAAAAGCTAAAAGGCGATAGAAAAAATTCCCAAACCAACAAAAAACTATAAATTTTTGAATAACTATTATTTTTTAACAAATGCGTTGTAATTTTAGACAACAATTAGTTGCAGCTATCCGACATTTTGCTTTCGCACACATACAAATGCCCATGCGCACACACATACGCCAGCAGCTACGACTTTAGGCGCGATAGAGCGAGACAACCATACACTGCTGTGTTTATCGCTCTAGTTATCGATATATTGATAGCCGTTAATTTTTAAATTTAAATCCGCAGGAACGAAAATACAAGCACATTGGCGCCAATCATCTGCTCGAAATATGCGGACGCCTGGGACCACTGGTCGATCGTGATCTGCCGCCGAGTGTGCCCGGCATCAGCTCGCTGCTGGGCACCGGGCGCCAGAATCTGCTGCGCACCAAGGACACCGTCTACTGCCACCGCTCCCTGAAGGATTACTGCACCCGCCTCCATGGAGTCTCGCTGCCGGATTCGCGCTTGACCAAGCCCACACACAACTTAGGTAAATAGTTAATATTGGACCCTTAATTAATAGACAATTTCATTTTTACTGAATCAAAATGGACTAACCCACCTCTATTCCTCTAGACCGCGTTCTTACTGGCCGAGAGCATGGCGGAGATGTGCGTCGCAAGCTGCTTGTTCCCACGGACCTCTACCGCCGGACGAAACTGCTCCGTCGCACTGTTGGCCACCTGTCCTCGGTTTACTGTGTGCTCTTCGACCGAACAGGCCGTTACATCATTACCGGGGCCGATGATTTGCTCATCAAGATCTGGTCCGCGGCAGATGGCCGTCTGCTGGCCACTCTGCGAGGCGCCTCCTCCGAAATCACGGACATCGCTATCAACTTGGACAATACCATGCTAGCCGCCGGGTCGCTGGACCACATCCTGAGGGTGTGGGATCTGCAGACCACCTCGCCCATCGCCGTCCTGTCCGCTCATACGGGCATGATAACGTCGGTGAACTTTTGTCCGTCGCCGCGCAGCGATCCCAAGTATCTGGTGACCACCAGCACGGACGGATCCATTGCCTTCTGGCAGTACTCGACGAAGCGTGGCCAAAAAATTACTTTTGACCCGAGGCCATTTCAGTACCACGAGAAGCTGCGGCCCGGACAAGCTCAGATGATGTGCACCACCTTTTCGCCGGGGGGCATTTTCTTGGCAGCCGGCTCCGCCGATCACCATGTGCGCGTCTACATGATGGGCGAGGATCCGCCGAAACGAATCTTGGAGACGGAGGCCTGCACGGATGCCGTAGACTCGGTGCAGTGGTCTCACCGCGGGCTGAGATTTATCTCGGGTAGCAAGGATGGCACCGCTCACATCTGGTCCTTCGAGTCGCAGCAGTGGAAAAGCGTCAAGCTGTGCATGACGGAACGTCTGCCCAGGTAAGATTCAGTATTGTAGCTAGTTTAAAATAGATTCAAATCAAAATACTAATTAATCTATATATAACTTACAGCTGCCCGGAACCAGAGGAGGGCAAAAGGCTTAAGGTCACCATGGTAGCCTGGGATGCCTCGGACCGTTATGTTATCACCGCCGTCAATGATTTTAGCGTAAGTTAGGATGTAGTACCTGCCCTTAAACATTCACTAACAATTGATAATCTCACCTGAGAACAGATAAAAATCTGGGACTCGAAGTCAGCCAAGCTGCATCGTGTTCTGCGAGGCCACAAGGATGAGCTGTATGTGCTTGAGTCGAACCCAAGAGATGAGCACGTACTGCTCTCCGCCGGCCACGACGGCCAGGTGTTCTTGTGGGACATAGAGCAGGGCGTCTGCGTGGCAAACTTCCTGAACGACATCGACGGCCAAGGCCATGGCAGTGTGTTTGACGCAAAGTGGTCACCGGATGGTACGATGATAGCTGCCACCGATTCCCATGGACACATCCTAATCTTCGGTTTGGGTGTGTGCATTGAAAAATACAAAATGGTGAGTTAAACGGCTTAAGATTAAAATGACATTAATTTATATGAATTTATTAGCTGCCCACGGAGCTGTTCTTTCATACGGATTTCCGGCCTTTAATTCGGGATGCTCAGCAACATGTTGTGGACGAGCAGACACAGATAATGCCCCACCTAATGCCGCCACCTTTCCTGGTTGATGCGGACGGTAACCCACATCCCACCAGGTACCAACGCTTTGTACCAGGCCGAGAAAGCTGTAGCATGGACCAATTGATTCCGAATCTTACGGTTGGCGTGGACGGCGTAGTAATCGAAGATGGAGGTGCAGGTGGGGACGGTGATGTTGCTGTGGCCGCTGCACCTGTCGAACCCCCACCCGTAGTAGTTGCCCCAGCTGTTCTTGGCGGAGCAGCTGGAGCTAACTATTCCCACATAGACCGCATGATCGCAGCTCTGGCCAATCGGCAGTCGGTTAATGTCAATGCCAACGAGGCTAATCCGAGCAATGGCAACCAATCGTTCGAACGTTTGACCAATCGTCAACTGCCTGACTCTAATGGCAGGCAATCTTCACGAGGAAATGTTCTGGGTAGTCGCCTGAGTACGCCTCGCCAAGGATGGGGAGCGCCAGCAGCTCTGCCAGCTGAGGAGCAACCAGGACCATCTCAACACCCGCCAGAGGCTGCAGCAGAGCCAGAGCAGGCCCAAGCCCAGCAGGCGCTCCCAATTAAGTTCATCCGCCGCACTTATGTGCGACCCATGAAATACCCCCAGTTGCAGAACCTCAAGCAGACCATTTACTCTGCTGGCCAATTTGAGAAACAAGAGTACAAACGCGAGATGCGTCGCCGACCCATCATGATCAATACTGCCAGTGCAGCATCTTCGCAGCAGCCTGGCAGCGTGGGCAGGCCGCGAAATACTCGTGCCAATGGAGGTGGCGCAAGAGCAGGAAGAAGACGCGCAGACCAGTCTGGAGCCGGCCAGCAGCAGCCGGCTTACCGCACACGCGCAGTGAGGGATCAGGAGCCGGAGCGCTACGACGAGGTGGCGCCTCCTCCCGAAGAAGAGGAGGAAGATGTATCCAGCAACTCATCCGGTGACACCAGCTACTCGAATGTGGAGGAAAACCTAGAAGATAGCAGTGACGAGTCGGAAACGGACAGTTCCGATTACTCGGACTGGGTTGCAGATACCCCTGGTCCAAATCTGGAGCCGCCCAAGCGCTCGAAACGTAAGCCGCTTTCTCGGAGACCACGGAGTAGCGATGACAGTAGCGATGATGAAAGGGCGGCAGGCAGAGCCAGAGGACAGGTTACAGCCCGGAAGGTGGGACGCAAGACCGTTTGGTTCCCGCCCACAGATGCTAATGGCGAGATACCGGAGCTGTATCGTCCAGCTGAATGGCTATCGGAGGTGATTCCTCGCAAGGCGCCCTACTACCCTCAAATGGGTGACGAAGTGGTCTACTTCCGGCAGGGACATGCCAAGTATTTGGATGCAGTGCGCCTGAAGAAGGTCTACAAGCTGTCGCATAGCTCGGAGCCTTGGAACTTTCATACCCTGCGTGACCACGAGCTGGTCCGTGTGATTGGTATCAAGTACGAGATACGGCCACCACGACTGTGCTGCCTAAAGCTGGCGATAATCGATGAGGAGGGCAATATGACGGGGACGTCGTTCAAGATCAAGTACCATGACATGCCCGACGTCCTGGACTTTCTTGTGCTGCGCCAAACTTTTGATCTTGCCGTACAGCGCAACTGGAGCATTGGAGATCGGTTCCGCTGCATGATCGTTGACGGCTGGTGGATGGGTCAGATTGAATCGCGCCACGCCCTCTCTGCCGACTTTCCAGACTCGTCCTTCATGTGTTTCCGCGTGCGTTGGGACAACGGCGAGTACGAGTTCATGAGTCCCTGGGACATGGAGCCCATCGATCAACAGCGAGCGCCGGAAGAGGTGGGCGGAGCGGTTCCGGTGCTGCCGGAGGAGATACGCGCCACCCTGTACCAACCCAAGGGAGAGGAGTGGCATCGCGGAGATCGCGATGGCACATGCAGGCGCATAATCAATGGATTGGAGCAGGTACGGATTGAATTTAGTTATTCTACATCACCCATCTGATTTCATTATTTATCTATTATTTCTTTCTTTGTGTAGGTGATGCGACTGTCCATTGCGGAACATTTCCTGGCCCCCGTCGACCTCAACATTTATCCGGACTACGCCTATTTGATCGAGTATCCCATCGACCTTACTACGGTCAAGTCGCGCTTTGAGAATCATTTCTACCGCCGCATCACTTCAGCCCAGTTCGATGTACGCTACCTGGCCACCAACGCGGAGCAGTACAACCGCAGGCACGCGATCATCGTCAAGCATTCGCGTATTGTCACAGACCTATGTTTGAGGATAATCAGGTGAGCTGAGGATTGGGAGTTCCACATGAGTGCTTGCTAACATAAGTTCGTCATCTTGCAGAGAAGCGGATGAGATAGATGTGGCTGCTGTTTATCACCAGTTGGCGGATGTGTACCACTCGTCTGAGTCGGAGAACGAGGCGGACTCCGATGTAGTCCCATCGACCAGCACAGGGCCAACGACCTCGGCAGCCGCAGCAGCAGCAAGGCAAAGAGTATCATCCGCCCGACGGTAAGAAGAGTTAACTCACTTTTAAAACCCTTTTAATATTGTCTTATGTCTGCTGAAAATTATAACTTATCAATACAATATTTTAGCTCCACTCGAATTCATTCGGAAGGAGACTGGCGCGCCGATTGCAGACAACTACTGGATCTGATGTGGGCACGGACGGACTCGGTGCCATTCCGTGAGCCCGTGGACACCATCGACTTTCCCGACTACCTGGAGATCATTGCAACGCCCATGGATCTGCGCACAGTGAAGGAAGATCTGCTGGGCGGCAACTACAACGATCCATTGGACTTTGCCAAAGATGTGCGACTGATCTTCCAAAACTCGAAGAACTACAACACCAACAAGCGCTCACAGGTGAGGGGAAAGCAGATTGGCAGATCGGTTACAGATCGTCATTTATTGCATTTCCAAACTGAGATCGATCCCGCTCTCAGCTGTTGCCTTTTTGTTTAAGTTGTGACCCCATCCCACACTCACTCACGTAGACACATATGCAAGCTCATCCATCTATTCTTTACGTTTCTTTTGCCTTCCGTGAACATGCCTTCAATCTCGATCTTCAAATTAACCACCCTAACTCATGACCATCAAAAAAAAAACCAATCGAATAAAAATATAACCCATCAAACATTTTGATATAATGTCTAACCAAATGAATGACGATCTCCGTGACTATCAACTAATATAGGATAATATAGCGGTAAGGTTTTCCATCTCCCAGCGCAGGCTACTAACATACTTTACTGAAAAAATAATTAACTTTACAACCAATACTGATGGCTTATACGTTCGATTTTTTTCAGATTTATGCTATGACATTGCGATTAAATGCGCTTTTTGAGTCGCATATCAAGACCGTGGTTACCAGCTGGAAGGCGGCCTGCAGGCGCGCTAATAAAAACAAGTCGGGTAGCAGTGGAGGCGGGGGACGCGGTGGCAGCAGTAGTCCCAGCAAGCGGACCAACAAAGAGCGTTCAACGCGTCGTAATCAGAAACCGACGGCAGCCGCCAGAAGATTGCCACTGGCTAACTCCAGTGAGGATGAGGACGAGGATGATGATGATGACGATGATGATGACGAGGGGGCGGCCGCTACGAGGGTTCGCTCTCGTCGTCGGAACGGCGTGGCAGTAAGTGCTAGTTCCTCTGGCTCTAATCGCGTGACATCTTCATCCGCCGCCCAGCAGCGTTTACTCAAGATCACCAGCAGCGAGGAGGAAGAGGAGGAGGAAACAAGCGGGCAGGCCACCTCCGATGCCAGCAGCGATGAGGAGGAAAGAGCCCAGTCCAATGATAGTTCACCCCAGCAGACACGAACACGCAGGGGCAGGCAGAGGCAACGACTGAGTGATGACTCCAATGCTAACGATTCCGAGGACAGCTACAATCCCAGCGGTCGCCGAAAGCCTGGAGTAAAGCGCCCGTCCAGCAACCGACAGAAAAACGGCCACTCCAGCAAGCGGCGTCGGTTGAACAAGAGCCCAGCCACTTCTGCCGCTGTTGCTGCCGCAGGTTCTCCACGCCGGTCGCGTCGTGTGATCGGCAGTTCCGCAGAGGAGGGGGCCTCCCACTCGCAGAACGACGAAAGCACCCAGGATAGCCAGGTGGGACGCCGTAAGGGCCGCTCGGCGACCAGCAGGTCCCAGCCCATCGGCAATGGTCCCAGTACAAGTGCCGCAGCGGCTGCCAGTGCCAACTCCAGCCAAGAAAGCCGTTCGCGAAACACACGGGCCAACGGGAGCAGAACAACGACTCATCTTGCCGCCGAAAATGATCACAGCTACCACCTGCCTGTGCGCAACGGACGCATAATCGAATCAGACACGGATTCTCCCGTGATTAGGCCAACTCGACAGAGTGCTAAGCGGGCGCTTATGGATTGGGGACGCGGGAGCGACATTGAAGAAGAGGAGGAGGAGGATAGCGAAGAAGCGGAAGAGGTAAGTTGTTTAATTTTCATATTCAAACTTGTATCTATAATATTTGTATCTTACAGATCCTGCCCACGCCCACGAAGGACGATGTGCCTTCTACCAGCCGAGCTGCCCTGGCTCAGGCCGCTGCTGGTCCTGCCCGTCAGCTCCGTACGAACCGCAACACCGTCGTCCTACCAACCCAGAGTGACGACGACGATGATGACAGTGACAACGAACCGCTGGCCAATAATCAGCAAAGTGAGTAGAATTATTTCATTATTTTAAAAAGTCACCAACATGCCCCATTCTCTGTAGAAAATTACCAATCACCTGCAAAATCAAGCTCAACGGCAACAACAGCTCCTCATCCGTTGTCCCTGCGTCGCCGTTTGGCCTCGCCGCCAGAACGAAACACACATATGACCCGTTCACATGCCATCTCCACCACGACGTCCTCTGCAGCGGGCTCCCGCGCAGAACAGCAGCCTGCGGTATCCACCCACGACCACAACTACCTGGGCAACGTTAATTCATCGAGGGCACCGCGACGAATTCTGTCGCGCCATCAACGAAATGCCGATGAGCTGGACACTAGTCTAGATGTTTTAGAGAACTCGCGTCTGCTCTCAGCCATAGCAAATCACCGACGACCCACCTCCACCACAAATAGCACTAGCAACAGTACCAGCAATGTAGTCACAAGACGTCTGCGTGGACGTGCAAGTCAACCGAACTCTCATGACGAGGACCACGAGGAAGAGGAACCGGCCGCCTCTGACGAGGGAACGGACGGCGGTTCCAGCTCGCAGAGCTACGAGGATGAGGAAGACTCCGACTCGGAAGACAATCAGCCACTGACAAGCTACGTCTCGCCCAGCAACGGACGCACCCGGCGCAAGGCGAAAACTTCCTCCTCCTCAGCGACCACGCAGGATCGCCCGCTGCGACGCACCCGCCGTCCGCCATCCAATAACTCTTTCGTCAACGACGATGATGACGACTATGTGGAACCTCGAAGTCGTCGGAGCAATCGGAGCGGGAATCAGCGAGCCGGTAGAAATCAAAAAAGACCGCGTTATAATGAGCAGTCCGAGGAGGAAGAGGCGGCGGCAGGCTACTCACACCGAAGCAAAAGAATCCGTAATGGGGAAGCCCATGCCAGCTCCCAGGAGCGATCACAGGCTTCCGCCGAGCGGGAGCCGGCTGATGACGAGGAAGAGGGTAGCTCGGCGGATTCAGATGACCAACGGGTTACCGTGAGCAGCAGGGGCAGGGTGCGCAAACCTTCTGCCAAGGCGCGAGGCATCTTCAAGGAGTGACCGCAGACTGTTTTATGTATAAATTAAATCTAATTGCTAATCCAACAAACCATTGTAAAACATTTCTAGCATCTTATTTCTTATTATTGATTAATATGTAAGGGTACACCACGTCAGTTGTCAGTGTCACTGTCGGTATCACCGTCAAGATCATTGTCCAGTCCAAGTCACCACTCCAAAACCCAAACCAACCCATCCCAATCCGCCACATCCCTAGGCCTAAACGTCGAATGTTTAACCCATATCCATTATCCATATTATACAGTGGCAGAATATGTTCGATTATTGTTCAAGTCTTAAGTTCATAAATGGCGTCATTCCCTACATTCTATGTGTAGGGAGCAAGGCCAAATCAAGGTTTTATATGTATTTCTATAATATATAGGTACTATCATACATATATATTTAAAAGGTAGCACTCGGAATCACACTTCATTTAAAATAGTTTTAGAATAAAGTATCATGAAAACACACTGTATGTAACTTTTTGACGTTAATCCTATCTTATGATATATTAAATGTGGAAGGGATGACACTACTTCACCGCCTTGGCGTAGTTCTTTACCCACTGTTCCGCCTGCTGCTTGACCTTGGCCACGGTTGCATCCGAGCCGTGGTTCTCCTCCAGTTGCAGATACTTCTTGTAGATGACTTGCATCTTGTTGGGCTTCAGTTTCTGCAAAACGGCTCGCTCTAAAACGTTTCTAAAATAATATAAGACATAAAATTAGACATTTTTGTTACCATGGACTCTAGTAGAACGTAAGTTCTAAACTATTTCATTCTTAGTGGTGTAATCAAAAAAGCAACAGCAGACTAACCTCGCAGAATCGATTAATCCCGCCTTGATCAGCATGTCTACATATACCGACCAAATGTCGATTCGCTTGGGATAAGAAGTAACCACATCATCGAGCAAAGTCTGAGCCATTTCATTGTTTTCGTTCTTCGCATACAGCTTGGCGAAAGACACAATGCAGTTGATGTCTGTAAAGGTAATTAAAAAATTCAATACAACTGAGGATCGATCAGTATCAATAAACTTACGATCTTGATTTGGCAGCCCTCTCAGAGCACGCTGGAGAAGATTGTGGACCTGGTCGGACTTGCCCAGCCAGAAGTAGGCTTCGGCGGCCAAGGGCCACACCCTAAGCTCCGCCTTAAACTTATTAAGGAGTGTGGTCAGCACGGAGGTGAGCCGTTCCTTTTTCTTATTCTTCTTAAGGATGTCGACGACACTTATGTAGGTTTCCAAAGGATCGTTGCAATTCAATGCTTCCTTAAGCACCTCGTCGAAATTGTTGCTGTAGACAAGCTCCATGTTGAGCAAGGCGCTCCACATGTTTCTCAGCTCCTGGGTTTCCCGGAAGGAAATCGTTGAAATGGCTCTTCGGGCCAGATCACGAGCCTTTTCAATCTCTGTGTTGGACAGCAGGAACGCAATGTACTTCAGCCAGGAAATGCTGTTGTTTGGCTGGGCAATCACCAGCCGCTCGTATTGATCGATTGTCTCGAGACGTGCCTTGGGATCGGCATTGCGCTCCTCAATCTCTCTCAGTCGCTGTTCCTCCTTGACCTCTGCCTTGGCCTTTTCCTTGGCACTCAGTCGTTTCTTTTTGGCTGAATTTTGCTGGGTTTCCGCTGCGTCCTTTTCCTCATCTTCGTCGCTGGAAGCTTCCTTTGACTGGCTTAGATCGTTCTCCCAAAAACTAGACACACCGGGTAAGCGGGTCTTGGTTTCGGTTGCGTTTTGTTTTGGTGTTTCGGACTTTGCATTCTTAGCTGGAGTTTTATCCTCAAAGAAAAGCTTGCCATTTTGCTTCGACTTTTCCTTTACTACGCCATTAGTCAAGGGCTGAGGCTTCTTTAGCCCATTTGTGATTTTTTCTGCCCCTTCAGCCTTTCGCTTGGTGGTTGTGACCTCCGCCTTGGCTTTCTTCTTCGTTGAAGCATCTTCAATACTAGATTTCTTCTGCTTGGGCGGTTCTTCAATTTTGGACTTCTTTGCTTTCACTTGGGTTTCCTCTGCTGTTGCTGATCTTTTTACTCCCCGCCAGAGACGCCACACATTCTCGGGCACAGCGATCGGAACTTTGTCATGAATAAAAGCCAAGTTACAGAAATCTCCCTGCCGAAGCTCCGCGCTTCCAGAGTTCTCCACATCGTTGGGATGCAAGCGAATCGGACAGATTACCAACGGGTTTGTGCCCTTCTTTAGTGAGCATACCACTACAGACTCCAGTTTCAACAGCACCTTGGCTTTCATGCCAGCCTTCCCGATTAGATTCGTGGGAAGTTCTCCGCTAGGTGAAATATGCGCAATGTCCAGTTTTTTGTTGCTAATGAGCAGCACTTCGCTGGAATAATCGACCCACAGAATGATCGCCTGGTGCTTGGTGCCCGCTTCGGGAGCTTTTGCAGTTCCTGCCAGACTGGAGAGCAGCAGAGCGGAAACTTTGGTACTGCCTTCCACAGTGTACACCCAATCATGGGAAGCCGCATCAATGCCCTTGAACACCACACTGATTTTGTCGCCAACGGAGTATTTTGCAATTGGGGCAGCGGTTTCTTGCAGTGCTGTCTTTATCTGAGCAACTTCGTCCAGATAGCTGTGATGGAATTTAAAGATATATTATGATTTTTAAGGGTTCAATAAGATCGACACTGGACCTACCTCTCGACCAATTTGGCAGAATCACTAAGATCCCCGCTCCATACATCGGTGAGCTTAGCGGACACAGTAAGAGTCTTGGTTTCCGCCTCCTTACTGAGCACCTTTACCAACAGCAGCTGCTCCGGAACCAGCTCTACAGGTGCATTTTTAACGGCATTCAGACGCAGCATCTTCACATGAACCTTAACTGGCTTGTTGTAGTTTCGAACGGACACCATTAGATCAACCACCTGTTCGGTGGCGTGCTTCACGTAAGAACGAATTATGTCTCCCACTTGGACCGACTGCCAGTCCTTGGTAAGTTGGCCACTGAAGTAGGGAACATCGCGTAAGCTGAAGATGTTCTGCATAATGCAGGCTGCCTCGGTGTGGGAACCCACGGGATGCACACGCATTTGGGCGTGCAGCAGCTCTAGGTGATCCGAAAGCAGTCGCAGCGGGATTAGGCCTACGTATTCCTCCACATTCGAGTTTCCCTCCTCATCCTCATCGTCATCCTCGGCGGCAAAGGTGATTTTAATTTCCAGTCCGGCGTCCAAGGCATTGGTTATCTCAACGGGACAGATCTCGCCCAGCTGGAACTTGTCCTCCGGCAGGGTCAAAGTGATTTGGTCTTTATTGCGACTCAGAATGCGAAACTTTGCAGTCTGTCCCTCGAAAAAGGAGCTCTGTTCCTTTAAGTTCTGCCTGTGCAGGACTCCCTTGATGCCACTGCCGAACTTAACGAGTACATAATTGTCTTCACATCGAACCACAGTGCCTGTATAGACGTTGCCCACGTGGGCGGCCGAATAATCGTTAAGCAGTTTCAATCCCTTGGCCAAATACTCGTTGCGATTGCTTAAATAGCAGACCTTCCGATCGGAGTTCACCTCGAGAACTCGGCACCTCAGCGATTGACCCACATCGTAGCGCACATTGGGTGCCAGGTAAAACTGTTCCAGAATGCCATTGACTTTTCCGATTTTCACCGACCAGCCTTTGATCTTGTCGTCCTTCTTGAAAATCTTCGCTGTGACCAAGTCACCGGGATTTATGTCCTCCAGGCAGTAGAGCTTCTCATTGACCACGTTGGGGTCGTCAGAGCAGTAGTACATTGATTCGATTACGTCGTAGCCCAGGATGCGCACCTTGTGCTTAGTCTTGCGTCCGTATTTGGACAACACTTCGTCCTTGTCGTAGTTGCCCTTGAAGTTGGCCCTGATGGAACCGTAGGAAATGATGCCCTTCAGCTTCTTGTTGAGCAGCAGCACCACTCCACCGCTGCCCAGTCGTAAAACCTTGGCCTTTTCCACCACGGAGCCTACTTTGAGGGGCTCTTCCTCCTGTTCGTCTTCATCCTTTGCCACTTCTTCTCCCGCTTTGATATCCAGATTAAGTGTTAAGTACACCAGTTTGGTGAGAGGCATCACATAAAGCACCCTAGCATTGTAATCCTCATTCAGCTCGTAGGCATCCAAGGTGTCCAGGGCGTTTGCAAGATGATGCTCGTTGATATAGGCGCTGAATGATTCGTTCATGATGCTGCCCTTGAGGCCATCCTTCAGTAGCTTGGCCACCTTGAACCTGACGATGCTGCCCGGCAAGATATAGTCGAGATTTGTCTCGTTCTGACTCTTGATGCGTAGCTGGTCCTGCTCCACCTGGACACATGTGCAGGTGCTCTGGTGGGCATCGTGCTGAACCTTTTTGACCTTCAAGAAAGCCAGTTGGCCAACGTTGAGGGTCTGCACCGGCTCCTCGCAGGCCACAAAGGCCTGCAGTCCCTGCACGCCCGTCTCAATGACATAGCCGTGCTCCTGGATCTCCGCCACGGCACCGGAGAAGATGAATCCCTTCTTGATGCTCTTGTGATGCAGACCGCCATGGACGTCGGCCGGCTTGAGGGAGAGCAACAGGCTAACCCGGCTGCTGCCCAGCTTCTCTGTTTTAATAGCTTTGCCGTAGACGATTCGGCCCACCTGAAAGAGCTCGGTGAGATCGTGGTATTCGCTGGTGTCCCCGGACATGGCCGCCTTGGCCACGCGTGTGTATGCCTCGGATATGTCCGCCACCAGGGTGCGGGCGAACATCCGACCGGGCAGGGCGACGTGCAGCGCGGTGGCGCTTGTCTCCTTGACGACTCCCATGACCAGCATGTCCTCCTGCAGCGTGTCCAGGTTAAGCGTTTCCGCGGAGAAGGCCTCCAGCTGGTCATTCTGTTCCTCGGTAAGGTCATTCAGGAAGTTTTCTTTTATTTTCGGAGCCTTTTTCGTCTTCTTCTGCGACGCACCAAAAACCTGTAGGACAGAAGAATATGTAAAGAGATCTCGGAGATTTTCCTCGGTAAACCCACGATATTTGAGCTGATGTCGGCGGTTTTGGCTTCGGCGTGGATTGTCCCACCTCGGGGGAAACTTTTTTCATTCGGAACCATAGGTGAGCTGTGCAATTTAACGTTTTAAATAACAAAATTCCAGCAACGTGCCTACTACACGTGCTAAGCGCCGATATAGAAAATCAGTTTACAAAATGATACTAATTATGGCCTGAAGCAATGGTGGTACCTAGCGAATATTCAAGCCTAGCAAATACTCAAACCTATCGAAGACACAAGCTGCCCGCTTCACACCCAAATCACAACAGCTGTTCCAGAAAAACAACTTATGACAACAAAAAATACATAAATAAAAAATATAGTTCCGAAAATTAGTCTTATTTTACTTCTAATGCATCAAACTTTAATTAAAAGCAACTACAAATTTAATGCAAAATTAGAAAATAACTTTTTTTTAGCACCTAGTACACGTTTTTTGTAATATTTTGTAATGTTGCTGTAGCTGGACCAGTGTGAATGCTCTTTAAGTATATTGTACCTCAGATGGAACGTGCAAAGGCCTCTTGATTCCGGCTCACATGTGGAGTGCATTCTATTCGAACGCGACTCTACAAAATGCAAACTTTACGTGAGTTTACGCGTAAAACCAAGCGCGGCAATATCCTGAAAATCGTGCGGGAGCACTATTTGCGAGACGACATCGGCTGTGGCTCCGATCTTTGCCGGCAATGCTTCCAGAACGAGGTATACCAGCTGACTTCGCAGCACGAGATTCGGAGCACCCTCTTCAAGTGCCCGCACTACCTTGTTTTGGACACCAATGTGGTTCTGGATCAGATTGACGTTCTCGAGGAGGATGTAATACGCAACGTGGTCGTCCTGACCACGGTGCTCAACGAGGTGAAACACAAGAGCTCCTCCATCTACAAACGCTTCAATGAGCTAATCCATGATCGCACCAGGAACTTCTATGTTTTCGTCAACGAGCACCACAAGTAGGTTAATGGACTTAAAAGGGAACATCTATTACAATAAACCTTTATCTCCCAGGGAGACTTATGCAGATCGCGAGCCGGATGAGACCGCCAACGATCGAAATGATCGCGCCATCCGTCTGGCCACCAAATGGTATGATGACCATTTGCAGGCCTCGCAATCCCCTAAAGACTTGGAGCGCTCTGGCCGAGCTGCAACGCGGGTTATCCTGCTTACCGATGATGCTGGGAATCGCGCCAAGGCCGAAGCCGAAAGCATTCTGGTTGCCTCCGCCGGGGACTACGTAAAATCCCTGGAGGAGTTTCCACTATTGGTGGACAAGCTATCGCACAAGACGTTTGAGAACGAGAAGAAGGGCCTACCGCAGTATCCGCCGCATCTAAGCATGAAGGAGCTGCTAGAGGGACTACGCCAGAAAAAGCTACTGCAGGGCGCTTTCCAGGCCTCCAGGGAAAATTATCTCGAGGGCAGTGTCAACGTAGAGCAGTACGAAAAGGGCGTAAGTTAAAAGATCTATTTAAAAATACAATTAATAACCTTTGTTCTTCACAGATCCTTATCCAAGGCCGCGAATCTCTCAACCGAGCTGTGGATGGCGACCTAGTGGCCGTGGAGCTGCTGCCCGAAAATGAGTGGTCGGCGCCCAGTGAAATCGTGCTGGAGGAAAAGAACGTCTACGCGGATGAAGTCCCCAGCGAAGAACGCGCCGAGGATGAAAAGGACATGCTAAAGCAGGTGCGTGCCGCTGCCTCATTCGCTGAGCGCACGCCCACTGGACGGATTGTGGGTATTGTGCGCCGCAAGTGGCGGCAGTACTGCGGAATTCTGCAGCCCAGCTTGATAGAGGACACCAATCGGCATATCTTTGTCCCCGCCGACCGTAAGATCCCTCGCATTCGAATCGAAACTAGGCAGGCGGCCAAGCTACAGAATCAACGTATTATCGTGACCATTGATACCTGGCCGCGAAACTCGCGTTACCCGCACGGACACTTTGTGCGCTCCTTGGGGCCACTCGGTGACACGGCCACCGAGAACGAGGTAATTCTTTTGGAGCACGACGTGCCGCACTGTAAGTTCTCAGACGAGGTTCTGAGCTTCCTGCCGCAGATGCCCTGGACAATCACCGAGGAGGACTACGCCAAGCGTGTGGATCTGAGGGACCTCTACATCTGCTCTGTGGATCCGCCGGGCTGCACGGATATCGATGATGCACTGCACTGCAGGGAGCTGCCCAATGGCAACCTGGAAGTGGGTGTTCACATCGCTGATGTAAGTCACTTCATTCGGCCAGGAAACGCGCTGGATAAGGAGGCAGGTTCAAGGGGAACCACCGTTTACCTGGTTGGCAAGCGTATCGACATGGTTCCTGAGCTTCTCAGCTCGAATCTGTGCTCTCTAGTTGGAGGCGTCGAGCGCTTTGCATTCTCCTGCGTGTGGGAGGTCGATAAAGAAGCAAATGTGTTGAGCAAGCGCTTCCACAAGAGCGTCATCAAGTCAAAGCGAGCCATGACGTACGAAGAGGCGCAGGTGATAATCGACGACCCCACGCAGCAGAATGAAATTGCAAAGTCCTTGAGAAATCTTAATCGACTGGCCAAGATCCTTAAGAAACGGCGCATGGACAACGGGTGAGTTTATCTTTTTCTGCTTTTGATCAAAGATATTCATGTAATCCGTAAATTACAGAGCCCTGGTCCTGGCTTCTCCGGAAATTCGATTCCAGGTGGACAGCGAGACACACGAACCTCTCGAAGTGGAAGTCAAGCAGATGCGCGAGACCAACTCCATGGTGGAGGAGTTCATGTTGCTGGCAAACATAACAGTGGCCGAGCACATTGCGACGGAGTTCTCCGAGTGTGCGGTTCTGCGTCGCCACCCTCGGCCCCCACCCACCAATTTCGATCCGCTGGTAAAGGCAGCCCGCTATCAGGGTTTCCAGGTAGACATCGAGTCGGGACTGGAGCTGTCGTATTCACTGGACAAGTGCGTCAAGGCGGACAATCCGTACTTCAACACCATGATCCGCATTCTAACCACCCGCTGCATGATGCAGGCGGTGTACTTTATCAGCGGCAGTCTGCAGAAGGAAGAGTTCTTCCACTACGGCCTGGCCGCGCCCATCTACACGCACTTCACCTCGCCTATCCGTCGTTACTCCGACATAATGGTTCACCGCCTGCTGGCCGCCTCGATTGGCGCGGATAGTACATATGCGCAGTTGCTGGAGAGGAAATCCAACGAGGAGCTGTGCCACAATCTGAACTACCGCCACAAGATGGCTCAGTATGCAGGCCGCGCTTCGGTGGCCCTCAACACGCATCTCTTTTTCAGGGGCAAGGAGGAGGACGAGGAAGGGTAAGTCAGGGAAACCAATAGTCGGTAACTTTTTTATGAACTGCAAACCATCCCTAGGTATGTGCTATTTGTCCGGAAGAACGCTTTGCAAGTGCTGATCCCCAAGTACGGCCTGGAGGGCACCCTATATCTGAAGTCCGACAAGGATGGCAAAGACGGACTGGAACGCGTAAAGAGCGAGTTTGTCTTCACCTTTAATGAAGAGGATTACACCCAGCGATGCGGAGACGTAGTGTTTCACTCCTTCGACCCGGTCACTGTTCGGCTTAGCCTAGACTCCAGTAACGTGCAGCACGAGAAGCTAATCTTCCGACTAGTTAAACCGTACATAAAGGGCTTTAGCGTGGAAACGACCAGTGATGTAACGAATGCCCAGGTGATTGCCACGCCCCCGCCCTCGAAGAAGACCAAGAAGGATAAGAAAAAGAAATAATCCTTTGCATTTAAAACTAAGTTGAAATAGATTAAGCTGAAAAAAACATGTAGCTACAATCATTTGTACAAATGAAAAATTTTTATAATTCCACTCTCTCTTATACCATTTTCCATCGTTCCGGCTCTCCCAATACCTGAGAATTTCGAAAGTAAACCTTTGATCGGGTGTTTCTTAAAGGTTTTGGTTTTCTACTTGCGTTCTACATTCTCCAAACCCATTGCAAAGTTTCGACCGCAGTGCGTCGGTTGTGCTCAGCTCATTTGATCAATAGACTTATTAGGAGACCAACATATTCGTATATAACTAAAATATAAACATGGAACCCGGTTCAGATGCAGTGAATAATATAAATTGTGAAGCCAGTAAGTTAAAAAAGGTTTAGGCATATAGAAATTAAAGTATGTGTCACTCTTTAATGTATAATCACATGATTTTAACGGAATACAAGAAATGTATATATAGAAAACTAAAAGCAAAATCGGTTTTAAATAACTGAGAAATCATAACAAGTGGTTTTACCTGAGAAAGAAATTGCTAAATTTCAATATTCGGAATATATTTTGTTATAAAATATAACTTAAACGGTATAAATGGTGATTCTAATAAATACGACATTTTGTGAAACAAAAGATTTAAACACCCAGAAGTAAATTTACAGAAATTCTAATGTTTACCAATTATAATAATGAACTTTCGATGCGACTTTGATGTGATTAATTAGAGTTTAGTTTAGTTCGGCCCCCAAACTGTTGGCACTAAATATTAATGATTTCGATTAGCTTATGCAAATCGAAGGCTTTAATGTCCAAGGGCCATTGGCAATGACGCCTGGATTATGCTCGTCGTCTGGTAAATCCGAATATAAGTACATGGGTGTTAAGCCTGGGTATATGTACATACATATATAGTAATCAGTTGAGTGACCGCGACATTTAGAAAATTTTAAATTCAATGCGTCTGGTTTGTGAGCTTGGAGTGTAGTGATATTAAGTGTTAGTTAGAATAACTTAAAATAAATATCAATGAACCCGCCCAACTAAGGGTTACCTGCTCCTCCACTTTATCCTTAGGCGAAACCGTCTGCGGCATGCCCGTAGAGGCGCACGATCCGCTGTATTTGGAGGCATATCGCCAGAGCGTCAGGGATCCGGCAGCCTTTTGGGAGAAGCAGGCTCACCTGCTCGACTGGGATCGACCATGGCAACAGGTGCTGGACAACAGCAATCCGCCTTTCACCAAGTGGTATGTGGGTGGCTATCTGAACGCCTGCTACAATTCCATCGATCGACACATTCTGGCCGGAAGGGGGGATAAGGTGGCCCTCATCCACGACAGTCCTCTGACCGAAACGGTACGCCGGGTTACCTACCAGGAGCTGTACGATCAGATAGTCCTGCTGGCCGGTGGACTTGC